TTAGTCTTGGAAGGGGTTTGCACTGAGGGGACCCGACCACTTGCCTTGATGTTTCCTGGGCAAGCATGTTGCTTGTTCTTGTAGTAACAGTAGGTCTGCCTGAAATGCTGTTTTTAATAATGAATGAGACACCATTCCGCTTGAATTTGTCATTTCCAGCATAGTAATCCATATGATTCTGTTTCAGAATGACCAGCGCCAGTCCATTTCAGCTCATTAATGCCTAGGTTATCGATCTTTATGCATTGCATTTAATTTTTGACCACTTCCAGTTTTCCTAGATTCATACTTCGTATATGACATGTTCTGAATATAAATGGAAGTTTGCAGCGGTACCTTCTGATTTTGAGTTTTGCTCCACCAGCAAAGGAAGGTTCTGGAAGTTTAACTCCATCCATATCACTAAGGTCACCTTGACTTTGAGGAGGCAGCTCTTCCCCAGCTGTATTTTGACTGCCTTCCAACCTACGGGGCTTATCTTCTGGTACTGTATCTGGCAGTGTTCCCCTAGTGTTCATAAGGTTTTCAGTGGCGAACGGTTCAGAAGTAAGCCACCCTTCATTCCTCCTAGTCTGTCTTAGTCCCGAAGCTCCGCTGACACCTGTCCACCATGGATGTTTAAAATATGAGTGGAATAGTTTCCAGCCTCACAGCAACACACCAGCTGACACAAGTGGTGGGTTTTTGTTGAAATCCAATGTGAAAGTCAGTTCAGACGCTTTTAGTATAAAAGTTTAGTTTAGACCGTGTCAGTATAAAGTAAGAGGCAATCAGCCATTTTTATTCCAGAATGCATTGTTCATGTGTTCAGTGCTTCATGGCAGCAGGTTCTTGAAGCTTCCTCTGAGATTGTGCAATGCCCCGAGCCATTCAGTAAGCTCTTCACTGTGTCCTGTTAGAAAGTGCGCTGAGACGTTGCGTCTCAGTTCTCAGCATTAGGGCAGTCTGGCATTCCAGGTATATTTGAATGGGGGCAGGGAGTAACTAACTAGAGAAGAATGTCATTGAGGTGTGTGGCCCATTTTGAGTGAATTTTTCAGAAATTGTGAGGTGTAGGTGGAAGTTCATGTCTTTTGTTTATGGGTACACACCAAGACTATTGAGCAGCTGATTTGCTTTGAACTTCTGTCAGAACTCAGTTGGACACACTTGGGTGGGTCTGTTTCTGGATCCTCGGTTCTGCTTAGCTAAACCCATCTAGTCCTGTATCAGTGCCACAGTCTTGATCGCTGTCGCTGCGTAAACCAAACCAACACCAGTTGACAGGGAGTCATCTCCCGCTCGCAGCACCCTGTTTGTGTCAGAACTGTACTCCATAAGGTTTGCAGTAGCTTGGTGTTTGGAAGCAGATTGCCAGATCTTTCTTCTGATGTACCCCGGGATACATTCAGACTTTTAGCCTTTCAGTTAAGCTGAGCTCGTTAGCCATTTGCACCAACCACCCAGGGACTCCTTAAATGCAACCTTAAATACCAGATAGCCTCTTTCCTGCAAGAAGCTCTCCCTTTTCAAAATTATTTTAGCTATTCGAATACCTTTGCCTGCTCTTATTACATAAGCTTGTCTATGGCTAGGATGAGGTTGTTGTTGTTATACGCTGGTGAGTTGGCTCTGACTCATACAGCCCTGTTTAGACTCTCTGAGGGTTTAAATCTTCACTGGAGCTGAAAGCCTCATCTTTCTGCTACGGAGCTGCTAGTGGGCTCGAACCATGGACCCTGTGGTTCGCAGTCCAGTTCTTACCCTACAGCAACACACCAGGACTCTAGGATGTTGATTGTTGTTGTTAAGTGCTGTCGAGTTGTTTCCACCGCATAGTGACCCTGTATAGGGTTTCCGAGGAGCAGCTGGTGAGTTTGAACTGCTAACTTTGTGGTTTGGCGAGAATTGATGTCTTTACTCTGTGAAGTCCTCTAAGGTTCATGAACACTGCATGTCTGTGTTTATAACAAATGCTGAAGATATGAAGACGAAGATAACGCTGCGGCATCTTGTTTACATGTACTAAGAGGCGAGTCTGAGGCCTGTCAAATTGTATCCTTGTTGAGTTTCTCTTTCCCTTGATTTATAAATAAACAGGCCTATGAAAGGAGGTTTCCTACTTGTCCTTTGATTCCGATGTTCGTGGACAGCGACACCGTGAGCGAGTTCAAGAGTGAGGATGGAGCTGTTCACGTGATTGAGCGGCGCTGCAAGCTGGATATAGACGCTCCCCGACTGTTGAAAAAGGTAACGGAAAGGGGCATCTTGGAAGGCAGCCCCCAAACAAGTGGATTTGTACTGACTGTGTCTGTTGCACTTGGGTGTTCTTTAACACACACTGTCTTTCTCTTTCTTGTTTTTAAAGATTGCTGGAGTTGATTATGTTTATTTTGTCCAGAAAAACTCGCTGAACTCTCGGGAACGTACTTTACACATCGAAGCCCATAATGAAACGTTTTCTAATCGGGTCATCATTAATGAACACTGCTGCTACACCGTGAGTAACCCGCGCCTCGGCCTGAGAAGGCGTGTGCCTACACGCATTCTAAATAGTGCACTGTTGGTCTTTGAGGGCCCTTCTTCATTAGATGTTACCACTCAGATGAGCGGGACCGTAGGGTGGCAGGCACTGGTACAGTGGCAGCAACAATGGACGAGCATAGCAGTAATTATGCTGTAGGTCAGCGCAGGACCAGATGCTGTTTCGTTCTGTTATACATCAGGTTGCTGTGAGTTGGCACTGACTCTGTGGCAGCAGGGGGCTCTTCCAGAGCGGGTGCATCATTGTGGCTGATAGAGTAGCCTAGTGAGGCCCGACTTCATGTTTAATGTGACTTTAACATGCCCCTTCTTTCGGGCCCCAGTCTAGCACTTCAGAAACACACTGTTATTAAGTGCTGTCGAGTCAATTCCGAACCATAATGACCCTGTATAGGGTTTCCAGGGAGCAGCTGGTGAATTTGAACCACTGACCTTGCAGTTCAAACTACTTTACAGTCTGACGCAGTAGCCCACAGCGCCACAACGGAACTCCAGAAACAGCGGGAACTTCTAAAAGCTCACAGAAAGATTCCATGGTCTTTTCATCCCGTTTGTCCACAAACTTATTGAAACCCGAGATCCTGATAGTCAGGGGAGAGTCTTGGCAGTGATTTGCTCATTGTTGCTGTTCACACCCGATACGCAGGTCCTCTTTGGACGGGGTTGTTAGAATCACCTCCTAGCACGTCTGTTTGCTTGTCCTGATGCTCCTAGAAGACAGACTCAGCACAACACCCTAAACCATCGATAATAGTTCTGGTCATGTGACCCCGCGGGGGCTCTGAATGTCCTCAGAGGACAAGTTGAATCCTGACAGTGGCCCAGAGGAGCCCTGGTGGTGCAGTGGGCTAATCCATCAGTTCAAAACCACTGTTCACAGGAGAACGCCGAGGCTGTCTGTTCCCATAAATAGTTACCATCTTGGAAACCCCGCGTGGGGTTTCTTTGAGTCAGAATTGGCTTGATGGCATTTTTCAGTTTTGTGGTCCAAGGCGGCGTGCTCTCATGGCTCCTACCTCTTACCTTCCTATTCTGTGAGTCCCGCAGGCACCTCCCACACAGGACTTCTCCCTAAGCTTCCTCTTCCGGAGCGTGCTTCCCCGTTCTCTGCCTCGCTCACCCCTGTCTCTGCTCACACCTCCCCTTCTGGATGCAGCCAGCCTGGCTCCTGTTCAGTTCTGTAACCCACTGACCCCACACCTCAGGTGTTCCTCACTGCTCTGCTCATCTGCCTCCTGTTGGAGTCATCTCCTGGCCGGGCCGGCAGTGTCACGCATGGGCTCTTTGTTTTATTCTTGACATAGATTGGTGCCTGCCAAGCTCAGCCTGCCCACCTGGGGAACGAGTGAACAGAGCATGGACATGCAGCTCTCCTGTCAGACGGCCGCTGCTAGGACCTGGGGGAGGCTGTGGCACTGATTTGTCCCGCCGGCCGTTTTCATGATGATGATGTTTTTAGTCAATAAGTGTTTTTTCTGACTCCCAAGTGGGTTGAGGGGTGGACAGCTGACCCTCTCTGTTGCCAGGCCTGGTCACGAGACCACTTTCTCTTCTAATCGCAGGTTCACCCCGAAAATGAAGACTGGACATGTTTTGAGCAGTCAGCCAGCTTGGATATTAAATCTTTCTTTGGTTTTGAAAGTACAGTGGAGAAAATTGCAATGAAGCAGTATACCAGCAACATTAAAAAAGTGAGTGAGGCCTTCCCGAGGCTGGACTGGGGTGACAGGTGTCAGGTGACCTGAGCCGAACTTTCAGGAAGGCTGGTGGTGGTCAGAGCCTCCCGGCCAGTCCCCACTGTTGATAGCCCAGGGGGACGAACGGGAAACGCAGGGGCCAGTGGTCATAAGGAGGAACGTGTGGCTGCTGGACTTGCTGGCCTGGTGGTTAGCAGCCCAGTGCTTACGCCACTACACCACCAGTGCTCCTGCTATGGAACCTTGTAGAAATCAGACAGTGTCTCAGGACGACTGAGAAGAAAGGATAATGTTACAGTGAAAATTCAAGAGAATAACTGATTATTTGGGGGGGAACGTATTTAATAGTGAAAAGATCAGAAAAGTTCGTTGTGTTTTTTTCCATTTCATTAAAAAAAAGAGAAAAAAAGCATTTTTTTGCCTTCTCCTTCATCTAAGTTAATATGTGTCAAATTGTGCTTTCTAAAGTTTCCTTTCATTTTCAGAGGACAATATTGGTGTGGTCCATCCTGTAGGATCAGCACTGGACTGCCAACAGCAAGGTCGGTGGTTCAAGCCCACCAGCCAGTCATTGAAAACCCTATACTGGGCCGCTGAGAGTCAGAACTGACTCGATGGCACTTCACAACAATATCAGGGAGCGTGCACATACTGAGTTATAGGTATGTTGTTGTTGTGTGCCGTCGAGTCGGTTCTCATAGTGACCCAGGGAGTGGCCAGTGGGTTTGAACCGCTGACCTTGTGGTTGGCAGAGCAGTGCTGATCCTACAGTGTCATGTGAAACACCTTCTTTTTGGATATTGTTCCCTTGACCTTTGGCGAAGAGGACGTAACTATTAACAAGGACACTGGAAGGTGTTTGACCTTTCCCGTGTTTCCCCGCAGCCCTTCTGTTTTGATAAGCACTTGGTAAGGCCATGCAAGCCGAGCAGCGTCTGCTGTGGTTCCGGCTCAGACCTGGAGCTTGGTTATTTTCCAGGGCAAGGAGATCATTGAATACTACCTTCGTCAGCTCCAAGAGGAAGGTATCACGTTTGTGCCCCGCTGGACACCACCTTCTGTCGCACCCTCCTCAGAGACTGCTTCCTCCTGCAAGACACAGACAGCATCCACCGTCACCGCCGTGCCCCCCGACACTGCCCCGACGGAAGGGCTGAGCAATGAGGCACTCAGCACCTCAGGCGGGGCCCCCGAGCCAGTGGTGGGAACCCCTGACGGTAGGTCTGGAAGAGGCTCTTCTGTTAGCACGTTGTGTGGTTGGTTGACGTAGAGTCCGCTCGCACTCATGGTGACTCCATTGAGTTTTCAGGAGATAGCCAGGCCACTCTTCCAAGGCATCTGTGGATGGTCTCGAACCACCAACCTTTTGGTTAGAAACACAGCAGCGCCTGGAGACTCCTCTAGCTTGAGGCTCATAAATCAGACAGAGCTGTGCCATTGTGACTTGACCCCAGAGGGGCATGATGTCACACACACACGCTCAAGAGGGACCCTGTCTGTCGTTCCCAGGAGTGTGAAAGTTTACTCTTTTTATGTATAACGCACAGCTTCTACAAAGCGTTGTCACCTGCCGCTGTGTCCACGGCGACTCTTGGCTGCTGTCTCGATGGGAGCGGATCCAGATCTTCCTCCTGCGGAGCCACTGGGTGGCTTTGAACTGTTGCCCTTAACCATTGTGCGCCACCATGGGGGAGTCAGGTTTCTTTCTGGTGCCTTTACCTGCTCTTGTCTCCTTGGGATATTCGGATATTACACAAAAGATATGTTGATCTCTTTCCCCTGACCCTTAGCTTCCAGGTTAGGTGACACATTCATTTTATTCTGAGAAGGAAGAAACTGAATTTTGGTTTAAAAGGCAGGAAGGGTTACATCAGCTGTCATCCCTTGAGTGAGCCCCGGAAATGTTGAGGGCATCTTCAGTGATAACCTCTTTAACACAGAATTATGTCATCGTCTTCGTTTACATCATCAAGCACTTGGGAATGCTTCCTATGTGACAGGCCTCCCCTGGACGACACTCACAGCTCATACACTCAGCTACCCACCAGAAGGTTGGTGGTTCACATCTACTTAGGTGCCTTGGAGAAAGGTCTGGAAATCTACTTCTGAAAGATGACAGCCATTTGGAATGTTCTGCCACCCACGGGCTTGCCAGGAGTCGGAATTGACTTGAAGCCAAGTGGTTTTCTTCCTGTTTTCTGTGCCAGGCCCCTTTCTAAGCATTTGATGGATAGATACTTGTTCTCTAAGGGTTCCTTGGAGGCAAGAGATGCTTATGGTTCTCACTGCACCCATCATTAAGTGGGGCCCAGAGAATTAAGTGTGGCCTGGGGCCACACAGCTAGGACGTGGCAGAGTCCAGGTGGTCGGGCTCCCGGGCTGGACTCTTAGCCACAGTGTTGTGCTGCCTTTTGTGCAATTGACATACACACACACACACAGACCTTTCTTCTGATCATATAAGAATTAACACCCATCGCAAAAGTTCTAGAACACACATGAGCGTTCTCACATTCAGAAATGCTAGTGTGTCTCGGCCTTCCTTCACACCCGTTGTCTTCTCAGTGGGGCGCTGCCTTTTGTTAGCCTTCAACAGCTGGCAGGTGTTTTAAGGGTGTGTGGTGGTGTTAGGTGCCATCGAGTCGGTACTGACTCATAATGACCGTATGCACCACAGAATGAAACACTGCCCGGTCCTGGGCCAACCTCACGGTTATTCTTATATTTGAGCTCATTGCTGCGGCCACTGTGCCTATCTCCTTGGGGGGTCTTCCTCTTTTTCTCTGACTCCACTTTACTAAGCATGATGTGCTTCTCCAGGGACCGGTCCCTCCTGATAACGTGTGCAAAGTATGAAAGACCAAGTCTGGCCATCCTGGCTTCCAGCGAGCACTCTGGCTGTACTTGTCATCTGTTCTTTTGGCCATCCGTGGTACTTTCAGTATTCTTCTCCAACATTTTCTTTTTTGTGAACTTTTCTCTGCTGTCCTGAAACTTGCTCCCCTTCCCTCCCCTCCCCCTGCAGTGGCACATGATCAGGAAAAGGTTCGCTTGTATTCTTAAAGAGTAACTCAGTTCTAGTTAGGTTTAGATCAACTCGTTTGCTTGCCTTCTTTCTTTAGTGTTACGTCCTGTGAACCGCTCTCTGTAACTCTGTGTGACACCTGGGGTTCTGTCGTGACTAGTTCTGAGATGCTGCTGGTCAAGCTGGACCAGAGAGGTAGCCTGTGCTCTGGCCGGCCACTGCGGTGCAGATCTGCGGTGTCCAGGGCCCTGCTGCCCGAGTCTGAGACTGCAGGAACACACAGTTCCCGAGCCCACATGCCGCGGGGCGTCTTAGTTGTCAGTAACACCACGTGCCTTCTGTTGCAGACAAATTAGACGCAGACTACATCAAGAGGTACCTGGGAGACCTAACTCCGCTGCAGGAGAGCTGCCTCATCAGACTTCGCCAATGGCTGCAGGAGACCCACAAGGGCAAAGTGAGTGAGACTCACCATCCACCCCCCGCGTGCTACCCTAGGGTCCTTCTGCCCACAGGACCATGAGGTGTCCCTTCAGCTCTGAGGGATCGGAGCGTGGTGCGTCAGTCCTCTGACGTCCGCCTATGAGCACTGAACTTCTTCACGGAGGACGATCCAGGCTGAAGACAGACAGCAGAAGGCACCAGAGCATTGTTGTTTTCTGTGTATTCGTCTATTTTAGTTCCAGGTCTGGGTTCTTAGGCAGATTGAAAATAATTTATGGACATCTATATACATATGTTATTGTTAAATGCCTTCATAGCGACCCTGTATAGCGTTTCCGGGGAGCAACTGCTGAGCTTGAACCTCTGACCTTGTGGTTCAAACGGACTTAGCAGTCCAGTGCATTTATTTGCAGTGCCGCACTACACACACACACACACACACACACACACACACAGAGGTATGTGGTGGCTCCATGCAGTGAGCACTGGACTGCAGACCACGAGGTCCATGGTTCGAGCTCACCAGCTGCTCCACTGGAGAAAGATGAGGCTTTCTGCTCCCGCAAAGGTTTAAAAAGCCTCAGAATCCCTATACAGGGTAGCGAGGAGTTAGAGCTGTCTCAAAGACACGTAACTAGAAGAACAAAAAACGTATATAATTTCTGAAGCTTTGATTTGGAGTGTTTTGGTGGAATGTTCACTTTGTCCAGTCTGTCATAGTAAAGTGAGCGGGGACTCCGGGCAAGGCACCTGCTCGTTCATTCTGTCACACCTGGTAATGAGACCAGATGGGAGGGGGCCTCAAAAAGCTATTAGAAAAATATGTGGCATTTCCCCCCAAGCTTTCTGCAGTCCCTTTGTAGGCAAGACCACCACAGTGGTAATATCCCCCACCTGTCACTATGTCACTGTGTGTATAGATTCTCCCACAGTCCTGTGAGTGGGAGCTCTTTTTGCCCCCCTGCCCCCCATTTTCTATATGAAAAAACAGAGGCCCAGATTAGTGAAATGACTTACCTGAGCCCTTCACAGCTCGTGAGTGGTGGGCTTGAACCCATATCCCCAGTGCCTCTGAGTGAAGATGCCACCACGTCAGTGCTCCTACTTGAAGGGAGGTCTCCAGGAGTTGGGTGGGGAGCAGGCTCTTCCTGGGGACCCCTGGGCCTGTCGTGCACTGAGCATGCATTTGAGAGTGTGTGGCCGCAGAGGAAGACACCTGATCTGGGGAGACTGGCGTAGTCTTGTACTTCGTTCAAGGAAGCTGGCCTGTAGTCACCAGTGGTGGGCTCTAGGGACCGTCCCTGCAGGGTTGCAGCCGCTCCTAGTTAAGTGTGACTCGTGCCTGGGGGTGTGTACAGAGCCTCATAGTCCCAGGCCTGCTCAGTGACACAGTTGATGTTTACGAAATAATAGATAACCACTCTGCTGAGAGCATAATGCAGTGCAATCAAGATTATCCAAACGAATGGTGCTGATTTTCTGAAGGCTCGAGGGGCCTTTTTCTGGCAACAGCTAATTTTAAACAGCAGAATGCCATTCAGTCTCGTTAAGAAGTGGGAGTTTGAAAGGCTTCTTCCCTTAGCAACTTGGTTTTTTCTCCCCTTAGCAACTTTAGACATTGCTGGGTGTCCCTAGTGCTGCTCGGGTAGATGTACAGTGAGGAGGCGGCTTTAAGAAACAGAAATGTATTTATTCCCTTCCAGTTCAGGAGGGTAAAAATCCAGATTCACAGTGCTAACTCTAGAGGCAGGCTTTTCCTCTCTGTTGGCTCTGGGGGAAGATCTTGTGTCTCCTTTCAGCGTCTGTGGGTCTGGTGGTCATTGGCTGTCTCCGTGAGTCTTGGCGTCAGTCTTCCCCTGGGTCTAGGTGGTTCTCAGCTCAGGGACTCAGGGACCCTGGCTCTTACTCTGGTAGATGACCCCTTCTCTGCTTACTTCTTCCCCCTTTCATCTCTGGTAAGATAAAAGGCCATGCCCCGGGGAACACCCCTTACACAGATCAGGACTATGTTCTAATAAGGGTGTTGTATCCCACCCTCATCCCCTTACACCTGATTGGCTGATCACATTAGATCACCTCCTGGGGGGCGATGACATCATGGCATAACTGCCAAACCGCTGAGAATCGTGGCCCAGCCAAGTTGACACATAATTTTGGTGGTGGAAACCCTGTATAGGGTTTCCAAGGAGCGACTGATGAGCTTGAACCACTGACCTTGCAGTTGACACCGACTTTGCAGTCCAGCGCATTAGCCCACAGCGCCATGACAGTCTACCCTTTGGTCCTCGCCGCGTGTAAAACACTCTCACGTCATCATGTAATTTCCAAAGTCTGACATAATTTGAGGTCCAAATTCCATACTAGAGCACATTTCATCTTCATCTGTGAATCTAGAAGACATGCTATCTGCTTCCAGAGTGCAGTGGTGGGACAGGCACAAGGTCGACGTTTCCATTACACTTGGGAGATCTGGAGGGAACGAAGGGGTAGCTAGGCACCAAGCAAGTCCCAAACCCAGCAGAACTGTTTACCTGCGTTCTCACCTCCTGAAAAGTGTCCTCTCTTCTCTGAGAGCAGCTAGGCAGTGTTGTGGCCCTCCAGACTGTGTGTTACCCATGCTCTCGGGGTTCTGGCTGCAGGCCCCTTGGCCCTGGCTTCAGCTCTGCCTTCCAGGCCGCTCCCTCAGCTTTGGACAGTGGCTCTGGTCCCATCCCCCTGGCACCCATGAACAGGGTTCCACACTCTGGTCCTGAGCTGGTGAAAGTGTGTCTCTGAATCTTAGGAGGCTATGGCTCCACCACTGAGACCCAGCAGGCCATGGTTTCAGCCTGGAGATCGTGGCCCTGCCCTTTAAGACGGAGGCAGTCTGTGTCCCATGCTCCTTTTCTCTCCAGTTTCTGCATCCTGTTTACTTGACCCCATCCAATCTCTCCCCTGCTCAGGTCTGTGTTAGAGAGCTCTTTAGTGCTACCAGTAAGTGCCCAGAGACCCCCACTCCACCAGTGAGCCTCATTCCAAAGGCATTCAGCTCTCGTTGCTCTATAGGTTAGCAAACCTTGCTCTACTGCCTGGCGCCCAGAGGCACCCCACTCTGCCAGGAAGCCTCCTGCCCACTGGTGCTCAGCCCTGTCCCTCTGGTCATCTTGTGCTGTTCTCCGGGTCCTGTGGCTGCCGTTTCTCTGTCCCTGCTTCTCTCTGCCTGTCCCTTCTTCTCACTTCCTTCTGGCCCTTACCCCAATTGTCCCTGGTGTCAATGTTTCCAGCAACAATCTCTTCCAGACAATCTAGGCTTTTACTGTTGGGTGTCTTAGAGCCCCTCCACTTTCTCCCCATTACCTAATTCTAAAACTGCGTCCACGCACGCTTCAGGTGTCTGTTAGTTAGAGCGGCTCTCACCCGCAGTACCAAATTCTGTCTTAGTTGTCTAGTGCTGCCTGAACAGAAATGACCGCAAGCAGACGGCTTTAACAAGCATGGTTTTTCTCACATGATTTAGGAAACTTAGAAGTCCGAATCTGGGGTGCCAGCTCAAGGGGAAGGCT